TATACGGCCTCCAGAAAAAATGCCTCACGTTGGTTTTTGTAAATGTCTAAGGAAGAGCAAACTGTGGCTATCCTATGTGAGAATGACTACAGGTTAAAAACAATATCTGGTTTTCACTCAGTTTCAAGATGAAACTTGTCAGGTGCAGATTTTGATGCTCAGCTTCATGGCAAGCAGATACACACTTGGGAAAACAAATCTGAAGATCCCATTCATCTTTTATATGCATTAGTCAAGTCAAAACACTGGATATCTCAACACTTTAAAAAAATAAGAATTGCAAATTCATCAAAATAGCTATCCTTCAAAAATATAAAAAAATATCCTTCAAAAGTATCTCAAAAATTTCAGACTAAAAAAATATACTGGCATGAAATTATTTTAAATAACTCAGTTTTTCTCTTGATGTGAACAATTTCCAAGACAGGTCTTTTTCTATAAAAACAAAAGGTGCCTAAAATGAGCAATCTCTATGTGTTGGAAATAATCCAAATAATTTTGTCAGGACGGTATCTCTGATAAAAGCAAAATTTATTCGCGATTGCAATGGCGGCGGCGTCCCACAAGTAGGAGCGCGCCTATGGACACAACATGACAGCCTTTATACCCTGTTTTCTCCCCTTTGCCTCCCCCTCCCCTGTTTCCCCACTGGCTGGGTACTCCAGGTTCACAATCTTATCAGAAGAATTTACATTTGCTATTTACTTGTTAATTTATTTGTTATCTGGTGCCAGTCAGTAATCATCCAAGATGTCTCGGTGCTCTCCTTGTCCTATTGATATGGTGATTTTCTTTAAAGTCATCCTCGTTAAACAAAGAGCACTGGGGAATGATGTCAGGCCTTCCCAATGTCAGGCGCTTCCTCGGGCATGCCATGGCTTGTTCTCTGGTTTGCTCTCCTGCAGGATATTCTTGCAGTGTGTATGACAAAATATACGTATATACACAGTGTGCGTTCCTGGGAAGGTTCGTCTATACAATAAGTAATCTAAACTTATTAGAGATCCTCCCCAGGCTAAGTAGAAGGACTCCCAAAAAGAACCACGACAGCGGAGATCATAAAACAAAAATAACATTATACAATTCTAATGCAGAAACAACATCTGTTTCCCACACTATGGTAAACTGAAAAATGGAACAACTGTCTCAAAGAAATAATATTTCTCCAAAACATCCCAACTACACTCACCTTCTCAAAGAGTGCTTTGAATAAGCTCTAAAAAGCCAGACAGGGACTATGATTCATTCTGTCTTCAATCAGATCAAGCATAAGGTCTTCATTTCCACTGCTTCTTGTTTATTATTTTCACATCCCACAGACATCCTCTGCAGAAAGGTTAGGAACTCTTTATGATCAGATAACCCACCAAACCAGAACATCTGCTTTCCCACAGCAAACATGACAAAGATTTCTCTTCGTTGGCATGACTCTGAAGACTTTTCAATATGACTGAACATAAGACATGCCTCTGAAACACTTCACTGGTATTTTCCCTAATGCTGCCTTTGTGGAGGATCAGTCACAATTCATCACAATTACCAACTGCCTGCAGGTAGAGGATCCCAATCTGACTTGCCTTGGAGCAAAGCCCGATAACACCAGGAGTTTACACAACATCAGTGGAGAACTGCTCCTTACAGAAGTACGTGGCAATATTTTAAAAAGTCAAATCTACCCACTGCTGTGAATTTACTCGTGCATTGTGCATTGTATTCCTTTTTTCTTTTAACTGATCATTTTTTTTTTTGTTATTCTGTGCAGAGGAACACAAGACTTGCTGACCTGGAGGAGGGTGCTGTGCACAGCACAGCGGTGGCACAAACTGCTTTGGGGAAGGTCTGTTGGAGTTCTATTCTGACCTTTCAAATGTGAAGGCTGGCTTTTACACTAAAGAACTGCTTTTGTACTTTCTAAAACTCTTGTTTAACACCTATCATTCAAACACTTCACACTTGCCCTCTTGTGTGTCTGAATCCTTACCTCAACAGTAACTGGCAGAAATGTACAGGGTAGGCTGGATGGCAACTTATCTGAGTTCTCAATTGACCTCTCTAATTTAAGATGTTCATTTTTCTCGATATCTTGAGTTCAAGAGTTCTCTATGCCTCTTCAGATATGTCTATGGCCTCCATACATACAGTGTCCAAACACAAATCAGCTCTTTGTGGCACATTCTGTAATTAAAGAAGTATTATTTTTCCCACTGAAAAAATAAAGAGTCAAAAGTAAATTCACAGAGTCCAAGAATGATTGAGGTTGGCATGGATCTCTTGGTCCATCTGATCCAGTCTCTGCTCAAGCAGAGACACCCAGAGTAGGGCACCCAGACCCATGTCCAGGCAATTTTTGTTCCAGGAAACAGCCTCTGGGCAACATGTACCAGTGCTGCATCACCAGCACAGCACAGAAATGCCTCCCCATGTTCAAAGGAAGTCTTCTGCGTTCAAGTTCATGCCTACTGCCTCTTGTCCTGGCACATGGCATCACCGAGAAGAAACTAGCTCCATTTTCACTGCACCTCCTTTCAGATATTTATAGACAGTCATAGAATGACTTGGGTTGGAAGGGACCTTAAAGCTTACCCAGTCCCAACCCGCTACCGTGGGTGGGGCTGCCACCCATCAGGCCAGGCTTACCCACCAGGACCCCACCACACATGGCCTTGAATGCCTCCAGAGATGGGATATCCACAGCTTCTCTGAGCAGCTGGTTCCTGTACCTCACCACCCTCTGAGTAAAATATTTCTCCCTAATATCTAACCTAAATCTCGCTTCTTGTAGTTGAAGCCGTTCCCCCTTGTCCTGTCACTATAGCATTTACTACAGTAAAACGTTGATCCCCCTCCTGCTAGTAAACTCCCTTCAAGTGCTGGAAGGCTGCAGTGAGATTTCTCTGGAGCCTTCTTTTCACCAAGCTAAACAAGCCCAGCTGCTTCAGTGTTTCTTCTTAGGAGAGGTGATGATCATCTCTGTGGTCCTCTTTTGGGCCCACTCCAACAGCTCCGCATGCCTGCTACAGTGGGGGCCCCAGGACTGGATGCAGTACTCCAGATGCATTCTTACAAAGGCAGAGTAGAAGGGAACAATCACCTCCTTCTCCCTGCTGGCTATCCCTGTTTTAATTCAGCCTAGACTACTGCTGCCCTTCTCGGCTGCAAGCACACACTGCTAGCTCAAGTCCAGCATTCTGTCCATCAGGACCCCTTACTCCTTTTCCACAGGGCTGCTCTCAATGAGTTCTTCTCACAGTCTGTTTTACTCATAACTGGGATTGCTAAACAGATCTCCAAGCTTTATCTTGTTGCAGCTCTCTCAGCCTTTCCTCGCAGAAGAGATGCTTCAGATCCTTTCTCTCTCCTCTACTAGACTATTTTCAATACATCCACATCTTTCTTGTAATGACACTGGACTCCAGATATGTCCTGGAGTTAAAGAACTGTTCTTATAATATTGATGCACAGTAAGCCCCATTTCAAATCACAGAATCACAGAATCACAGAATCACAGAATCAATCACCTGGGTTGGAAGGGACCTCAAGGATCATGTAGTTCCAACCCCCCTGCCTAGCAGGGCCACCAAACATACACATTCAGATCAGGTTGCCCAGGACCCCGTCCAACCTGGCCTTGAACACGTCCAAGGACGGGGCATCCACAACCTCCCTGGGCAGCCCGTTCCAGGGCCTAACCACTCTCCTTGTGAAGAACTTCCCCCTAACATCCAACCTAAATCTTTCCTCCTTCAACTTGGATCCATTTCCCCTAGTCCTGCTGTTGTCAGCCCTTTTGAAGAGTTTACTCCCCTCCTGGGTGTAGGTTCCCTTCAGGTATTGATAGGCTGCAATGAGGTCACCCCGCAGCCTTCTCTTCTCCAGGCTGAACAAGCCCAACAAGCCAACAAATCACTGGACATCTTAGAGCCTGTGGGAATCAAGTGTTGTTTCTGCATTAGAATTGTATAATATTATTTTTATTTTATGGTCTCTGCTATCATAGTTTTGTTTTGGGAGTCCTTCTACTTAACTTGGGGAAGATTTCTGACAAGTTTACATCACTTATCGTATAGACGAACCTTCCTAGGAACGCACACTCTGTATTTAAGTGTTTATATGTATATTTTGTCATACACACTGCAAGAATATCCTGCACGAGAGCAAACCAGAGAACAAGCCATGGCATGCCCGAGGAAGCGCCTGACATTGGGAAGGCCTGACATCATCCCCCAGTGCTCTTTGTTTAACGAGGATGACTTTAAAGAAAATCACCATATCAATAGGACAAGGAGAGCACCGAGACATCTTGGAAACAACAGGATGACTACTGACTGGCACCAGATAACAAATAAATTAACAAGTAAATAGCAAACGTAAACCTTCTGATAAGATTGTGAACCTGGAGTACCCAGCCAGTGGGGAAACAAGGGTGGGGGAAGGCAATGGGAAGTAAGCAGGGTATAAAGGCTGTCATGTTGCGTCCATAGCCGCGCTTCTGCTTGCGGGACGCTGCCATTGCAATCGCGAATAAATTCTGCTTTTATCAGAGATACCGTCCTGACAAAAATTACTTGGATATTTCCAACAGAGCCTAATTCTGTCCTGTTGTATTACACACTGAACAAAAAAGATGGGAGGCCGAAAAACCAAACCAATGACCTGTGCGACGGCAGTAAGTCAAGCATCAAATCTTTATTAAATCAGCCTTTTCCTTTTCCTTTTCCTTTTTCTTTTTTCTTTTTTGTTAGAGATGCTGCTGGTCCCTGAACGGGCTGAGGCGGCCGTTGCGGCTGCCCCCCACTTGGCTGTGCTGGCTGCTGCCTGTCGTTTCCCTCAGAATCATTCCTGGGACTCCACCCGTTCCTCTCAGGATAATATTTGATCCTAACTGCTCAAAACCTCATTTAGATGCGTATTTTTAACACAGCGTCTGTGGGTCCTGTTTCCTTCAGCGGCCGCGTGCCCTGGGCGCTGCCGCCCTCCTCCCGCTCCCTCGGCTGCAGTCCACCCCGTCCAGCACGCAGGGAGTTGAGACCGCGGTGCTTTGCCTTCGGCTCCTCCTCCTTCCTCTTCCCCTTCCTCTTCTCGCGACCGCTGCCTCAGAGGCCTCGCGGTCAGGCTCCGCTGCCCACCGCTTTAAGAGCCTTCAAAGAAGCGGGCTCCCGCCCATGGCCAGCGGCCCCGCTTCGGGCTCCCCCGCGCGGGGCGGATGGACAAGATGGCTGCGGCCGAGCGGGGAGGTAAGGGCGGCTCGCGGCGGGGCCGGAGGCTGCGGCGGGAGGGGCTGCCCGAGCGGCAGGTACAGCGCTGCGCGGGAGCGATCGCGTTCCGGCAGGCCGGGCCTTCCTCCCTTAACACGCAGCTCAGAGCCCCTGCGCGCTTAATCCCGTGGCTTTCATTCAGCGATGAACGTGCTCGGTGTTTTCACTTGACTGCTGAGGTGGTCGGCGCTGAAGATAGGAACGTGTGGCTCTTAAGTCGGTTTTAGATTACAAAGTACGTTTGGAAAGCTGGCACTTCGCAGAATTCCCTGCTAGGTCTGTATAAACTATTTTGTTTACATAAAGCTATTACTGTTCTTAATGGCTTTAAGATTTTACGCACTGGCAAGATTATTTTATATACACGGCAAACTGCTAAAACTTTTGACTCTGGCCATGCAGAAAAGTAGTTTTGCCTCTGTGATGATTGTAGTGTAAGTTGGAAGAGCTGACAGGACGTCTGGAGGACTGAGAAGGTAAGACAGTTTAACTCAATGCTGTATCTTACTGGTTACGGCCTCCAAAATTATAACGGTGCAATGGCAACTCATGCTTCCCTCCTCACGTGAAGGAAAGCGTTATTGCATTTGCACATAAGGCTTGCATACCACAAAAGGCTCCTACCCTATTCATTTTTTACTTAAACTTACTAAGGGGTGACTGACGTAGGGGACAAAGCCTCACTTACCGCAGTGCACGTCTTTCTACTCAATAAAGCTACACAACTGCTTGATGAGGATTAGGCATACCTTATTTTCCACTTTTTTCCTGAACAACGCTGTGTATTAATGGAACTGTTTTTCCTTTTTTCCCAGGCAGCACCAAGAGATAACGGGATTTGTCATGCCAGCACCAAACTGAGACTAAGCTTCAAACTTTTATACAAAATTATTTGTTGAAAAAGGAAGCTTCTGCACTACTAAAAGGAGACGTCTGTGAAGTGCTGGACTGGGAGGCTGTGCATGTCTCTGAAGGAATTAACTTCAAAAACTTGACAGAATGCAAACTCAAATCATTTAACATTGTATTTTGCTTAGCAACAATAAAACAGTGACTGACTTTTACCAGAGCTGTAACTTGGGTCACTGGGGAGAGGGATAAGGTAAGATTCAGCTGAGGTACTCACGAAATACATTCTTTTCTCTTAAAATTTAAATTTTTAGTTTGATATACATAAAAACCATAGAGATCAACTTTTTTCCTTTTTTAAAAAGACACTCAGCAAACTAAAAGTTACTGTAAGATGTTTAATATGGAACCGTTTTCCTCAGCTAGATGTCCTCTGAAAATGTGGAGGTGTAATTCGTAGCTGTAGCTAAAATTGTGAAAGAACAGCTACTTAAAAAAGCAAGTGGTGAACTGACTTTAATGAACTAATACTGCTACAGGCTTTCAGAGTGCTTGCAGCTAAATCGCTAACTGTACACTGATGTCAAGTTGTTCTAAAAAAGTGTGCATTAATGATTTAAATAACACAGAATGAATATGTTGTTTCATCAGTCTGAAGATATAAGTAAGATAAGTAGCTAGCAAACTGCCTTGGTTTTACTCAATGGTGCTTGACAGCTGTCTGCATGATCCAGAAGGATGATGAGTCTACAAGTTCCTCTTACTTGTGCAAGTATCAGAACTGTAACATGACTAAAAAAAGATTAGTTTTTCTCATTTTAGAAGAGCACTCATATCCTGCATATGTGCAAGAGAGTATCAAGAAGCACACTGCTTACATTTATAATAATTTATTATGTTTAGGAACAGTGAATAAATACCAAGCTGTTAGCTTCAGTTTGGCAAACCTTTTCCCACCAAAGATGCGCTGGTTGTTGTGGCTTTCTTTTCTGGCAGAAACTCCATTGCCAGCAATGGATGCATCAGAACAAGTAGTTAATAAATAATACACACACACAGCAGTTTTCTAAACATACCTCCTGTTTTAAAAGGCATGATACAGATTTACTAAGCAAGTTTCAAGCAAATTCTTCACAGAAGAAAATTTTTTGCTACAAGCTGTCCTCTGAACACTGTATTCTTCACCAAAGTTTGTTGTTTATTTCATGGAATACTGTATTTATTTCTAAACAGTACCAATGGATCATTAAAAAACAATTTAACAATTTTTCTCCACTGAAGGTAAGCTGAGACATGGCTAGCAGTGGACTGCATGAATTTAAGAGTAATGTACCTCTTGCTGAGCAGTTTCATCACAGTCGTGAATAAACATACAAGAGAGGAAAAGGCAATACAACTTTCTGGTCATTGTGCTTGATGAGGTGAAGGAGTGTTTGTTTCAGCTTCCTTTTAGAACACTGTTCAAAAGTTAAAAGCATTGTATTTAAATTTAACAGATGCTTTGACCTTCCATGAACATTTGTGGTAAAAACAGAACTGAAGAAACTTCCTGCTCATGATAAGATTCATCTTCAAGTACTTAAGGTTGAATATCCCCTATGTTTCATTCATTTATTAAAAATGTGTTTTTATAAAAGCATGAAGACTACAGAAAACCAATTAACATACTCAAGTTAATCTTGCATATTTTTTTCACAACTGTATTTTACATATCACCAAAACTCTGCTTTAGCAAAAGAAAAAGAGAATAAAAATAAATTCTCTCCCAACTATTTACACACAGGTATTACCCACCCTGGTGTGGAACCAGATACTTTACTCTGCAGTCCCCCTAACCCAAGGTGTACTCTTAGGTGTATCTTTTTGTGGTTTAGGTTCCTGAAAGTTTTCAGCAAACCGTTCTCTTGCTTTATCCCAGTTCTTCTTATTCTTGCTTGGGACGATCTGAATATCTTCAATTGAGGTTGGTCTACTTGTACCCAAACCTGCATGCATCTTATGTAACTGAAGGTGGATCTGTCAAATACATTAAAGATTGTCATTAAGTATGTAGAATACCTAACATTTAAGTCCTAGTTCATAATACAAATCTTTCCCCTCCTGGCAATTCCGTTACAGTTCTGATTTACCAAGACCATGCACGAACACCTAAATCTAAAATGTTAAATCAAATCTAAATATCTGTGGCTTTAGCCAGTTTTTCCTCTCATTGGCTCACTCTCTAGTTTGAGTTTTGTGCTTTCAAAGATGAAGAATTCTACCAATCTTGAATTCACATTATTTATATAAATTTCAATTTTCCTCCATGCTTTGCACTCAAATTGGAGATCATTAATCCGATATCTCTCATTCCTGTTCAGTTTCCTAACAACGTTACAACAATTACAAACAACAATATTACTGTCATTTTCTACTGAGGTGATGAAGCCATTGAAAAAACTCAGAATACTTCACTGATAAAAGTAAAATTGATCTGAGGTTAGTCCTACTGAGATTATTCCCTCCCATGAACACTTCTGAAATGTTTAAAGTGAACCATGGCTTATAATTAGACATTTTCCACTGCAAATGCATTTCTATTTCCTTGTAGCCTAAGCAAAAACCAGAGACACTTACTGGGTCCTTCATACCACTGCCATCCTTGCCCAAGCCTTCCCCTTTTTTCCATCCCATTTTCTCCAACATTTTGTGTCCTTTGTTGCTGTCGCTGATTTCACTTTAAAGAAAGTTTAAGACTGATAAGCAAGAGTCAAAGTATATGCTCTCTATTCAAATACTGAAGGACAGAAATGTTCATACATATGCAACTCTAGAAACCAGGGCCCAAACACTCTTCTATCAAGAGCTACCCAGAAGGCCCTACTGCCTTCTTCGCTAGTTCTTGAGCTCAATTTTGGGTGCCTCTCCACAAGAAGGATAGCCAGTTGCTCAAAAGTTTGTGGAAAAGAGCAATAGGATGGCCTTGAAAACAGAAATTATGAGGAGAATGGGAGGAGCTTGTTCAGTCTGGATGCCAGAAGGAGACCTCAACTGCTGTCCACAAATATCTAAAAGACTGCAGAGGATGTCACTCTCTTTTCTCAGGTGAAAAGTGATTGGAAGCAAGGAAATAGTCTCAAGTTGCACTACAGGAGGTTTAGATTGGAAACTAAGAATTTCTTCAGAGATGGTTGTTAAGCACTGTAAGAGGCTGCCCAGCTGAGTGGTGGAGTCCTCGTTCTCGGAGGCATTTAAAAGATGTGCAGACCTGGCACTAACAGACATAGTTTAATTAAGGGACTTGGTAGGTCTGGCTGAGGGTTGGACTTGATCATATTGAAAGTCTTCTCCAACCTCCATGATTCTATGCTTCTTTTCTCATTAATATATTAAAGCTATTCCAAGACTCTAGTCAATGCCAACTTTCTTAAAACACATTCTATGTGCTGACTTCAGGACCTACAAGTTGCAGCACAGGTGGATGGGAATCAACTGCACTAATTGAGAAGGCAAGATCACTACTTCCCACCAAATCATTCAAACACACATTTCACTGTCTCACATTTCCTTTTACTAAGTTACAAGCACCTACAAGATCATGCTTCTTTAAAACAAAATAGCAAGTGGAGAAGCAAAGGAATAATTTAAAAGGAAGATTAAAATAAGTCTTATTTTAGAGGTAAAAATATGCATACACTATGAAAGGCTGGATATTGACAGTTGAAAGAAATTATGCAGGTGAAAAACTTGCATAGGTGCCATTATTGGGATGAGACAAAACACAGAGGCTATTCAAAGCATCAGAGGTGTCAGTAGTGCAGTGGCTGATTTCCGTATCTTTTGAGATAAGACAGCGATTTAGCCATCATAACAGCCAACCTGAATTCCATAAGGAAAAGCAAGAGTATATAGTAACATTAGTATATGAACTAGGAATTGAGAATAGCTGTCTTCTCATTCTCCTGATATACTGTATACAGGTGATTCATAAGCTGACAAACTGCATCTTAATAAGTAACTGATATTTGCTGTAGTTCTGTACAATTCATTAGAGGACTGTGAAGATTCTATTTTTTTTTTTTTTTTTTTTTTTTACATCCAAACAAACTTACATATGTACAGAAGCTGGAGTATCTCCTCTCTGGAAAGTTCCTTCACTTCCAATGGTCTCTCTGCGTTTTCCAGCTCTATCTTTGTACTTTGGATTCTTCACTGCTTTGTTGTCTTCATACTCTGTGTTCTTTGCAAACAGATTAAAGACAGAATATTTAGATTCTTTATTTCTGATGACCTCACTGCTCTATCTTCAGAAGTCTGTAAATAATGATTTAATGTACAAATAATGTGCTTGAGCTAAACCATCAGATTCAGGACTCTGAAAGCTTTCTTTACTCAATGAAATTCATGGCTTAAAACAGGAATCATGGAGTAGATGTAGATCTCAAACATTTATTTTTCTGTAAACTCACCTGTAAGCCATATTTTACCCGTATTTGTTTTAATGCTTTTCTTCTGACTAACTCTCTCTCTTCTTTACTAAGTGCTGGGCAAACTAAAAGGAAGAACATAGGATTCAATTTCTAATTAATATTATAACTCTTTTCCAACATAAGACAAAATTTTATTCCAAGATTATTACACACATGCCAAAAAGAACTCACATTATCATATATTGCAGAGCTATTCTCAATTGAGAAGAAAATCGTAACACAACTCTGCAATATTTTTTAAATTATTATTTATAAGATAAGGATCAATAATAATATTTTAAAAACCACCATATTCAATGATAACATGACTAACCAGAAGATTCTTTTTTCTTATCCAGACGAAGATGCGCTCTGACTTGACCTGGTTCACATCCATCACAAGTGTCACTGCCAGGATGTATGTGAAAAGAAAGCACAGTTTCACCAATCTTCACTTCATCACCATGCTCCAAGATGTACGGATCACATTTCGTTTTAGGCTACAGCAAAAGAAAGTTTTGGCAGCCATAGTTATTAGTTACTCATTCAGGGCACCAGTGCTATTACATGAATACTGCTCATAATTTACTGCTAAAGTCTGAAATAACAAATGTGGGTAAACATTTAAAATACAATGGGTATTTCACTCTAGCAATTCTAACAACAGTAGAGATTTCCTAATTCCTAATACAAAGCAAATATAAAATATAAAGAATGATCCTAAATCCTGAAGGAAATCAAGGAACGACAGTATTGTTAGCAATTTGCCATGACATGTTTAACATAACTGCATGATTAGTTTTCTGCAATGTATACAGCACTGCAGCAGCAAATACTCACCTGTAAAATCTGATTTCCATTAACAACTGTTCCATTCTGACTGCCTTGATCCACAAGAACATAATTTTGCAAATCATGGTCAAAATATACTTCTGCATGGAACTGATAAATAGAAGAGTAATTGAAGTGTTCTCATTAAGCAAATTCTTGACAATTTAAATGCTATTTTATTGAATAATTTCAGAATGTATTTGGGAACCTCTTAGCTGTGTGAGTTTGGTACTCAAAGTTAACAAAACATTCTAAGCACTTTGAAATGTATATTAATGGGTGATAACATCACAAGCTAACATGTTCTATTAATAATCTGGATCACAAACTGTCTCAATACTGAAAAAGCATGTACTTCCTAGACAGAAAGTATGCTTCACTTAAAGGATTGAAAGATACAGTAATGAACAATTTCTATTTATTCCTATGAATAAACGGTATTTCTTCCTTGTAAGGGATGTTTTAGCACTCTTAATTTTGCTCTTTCTGGAAGACATCAAGAAGACAGAAAAATATAATTAAAAAATCTGATCTCAGTTTACAGGGCTCAGATTACTTTCACATTTGAAACAGCTGAAAGTGCCATGTTTGCATAAATTTCATGTAATTCACTTTCACTTGCACCTTACTCACAGAATCACAGAATCACAGAATTGTAGGGGTTGGAAGGGACCTCCAGAGATCATCGAGTCCAACCCCCTGCCAAAGCAGGTTCCCTACAGCAGGTCGCACAGGTAGGCATCCAGGCAGGTCTTGAACATCTCCAGAGAAGGAGACTCCACCACCTCCCTGGGCAGCCTGTTCCAGTGCTCCGTCACCTCACTGTAAAGAAGTTCTTGCGCACATTGGTGCAGAACTTCCTATGCTGCAGTTTCCGGCCGTTTCCCCTTGTCCTGTCTCCACTCACCACTGAAAAGAGTCCGGCCTCGCCATTCTGCCCCCCACACCTCAGATATTTATAGACCTGGATCAGGTCCCCTCTCAGTCTTCTTTTCTCAAGGCTGAACAGACCCAGTTCACTCAGCCTTTCCTCATAGCAGAGATGCTCCAGGCCCTTCACCATCTTTGTGGCCCTCCGCTGGACTCTTTCCAAGAGATCCCTGTCTTTTTTGTACTGGGGAGCCCAGAACTGGATGCAGTAAATGGTCAGGGTAGAATTTTAGGTCATTTCATAGGTAGAATATGAAAGTCTAACAAACCAATTTTTAAAAAGATCTATTGCAATTCTCTATAGATATTGGTCCCATGTGACAGAACAGAGAAAACAAAACTCAGTCTTCCTGAAAACACAGGAACCAATTTCCAAACAAATACATTACCTTCAAAAATGGCCGCTAAGCAAACTAAAATATCTTCTACAATCTACCAAGACTCCTAATAAAATCAGGGAATCTATACAAGTTAATTTCAAATTTGACAAAGATCTCTTTTGCTATAGTAATGAAAAAACAAATCAACCTGTGAAGAAAGTGCTCATTTAAAACCAAAACCCTTCTTACCTAATTGCAGGTGCTACTTTGCCAGAGCAATTGCTGTATTCAAAAAACCAGCATTAATGCTGTTAAAATAGCATGTTGCAAATTTATACTATTTGGTTTATATATGAATAGTGGAAATATCAACTAGATAATCTGCTTAGTGCTTTTAGTTCTATCTCTGTTTTACTGAGTAATGTGAACCAAAAGTACTTCTAAAGATGCTAAATCTGCAGGGAGTAATTTATTTCAATCTCACTTTACATTTAAGAAAAATTAGTGCCACAGCTGTCAATTATGAGTAGTAATGTAGTAGTTAAATAGATAAACTGGTAGTAACTTTCTAGAGATACGTCATTTATCTTCATGTCTGTGCCCCTTCATTTGCAAACTGAAGTAACTCCTGCACACTGTTATTTTAATGAGAAGTATTTCAGAGCAACTTCAGTATCCACAAAATACTGGTAAATACTGTTAGCTATGCTAAGAAGCAAGAGAGAAAATATAAAAACTCTGGCTGTTTTATAATCCAGTTTCAAATACAAGCCAGAAAATGTCATTAATAGCAGGAAAAGATCATCTCTAAGAAAGTTGCAGTATAAAATGTTACACTTCTTATTAATTAGAACTGTCATCTGAAACAGACATAGTAAAACTTATTTAAGATACAGGCATTTATAAGTGTTTTACCAACTTTTTTATTTAGATTACAGATCTATAAACTTATGTGGAATTAAGAGAGCTATATTTATGGTCTGTGTTGCAGTAGTTAGCAAACTCAAGCAAATAATTTATTTTTAAACCTTCTTAAGTACAAATAATATTCTATGACAATGTCATTTCAAAAAAAATCATTATATTTTCAAACACTCTGTATATCACTTATACATTCACACAATATCCTTAAAAATAAAACACAACCAGTTTCTCTAAGCTCAGCTGTAAGGATTAGATTTTTTCTACACCTCGTTCGAACTAGCAATATTTTACTATACAATCAATATCTAACACAATCACCCATTTTCCTGAAGTTCGATTACTAATACATTCAGGATTCAAAATGTAATTAACTGTGCATTACTAAAACTCCAATTATATTAAAAAAAGACAAAACAACAAAAAATCTTTGCTTTTCTAGAATACGAAATCACATTGCTGTTTACATTATATTTCCACAGAGCAAAACACCGTATGCTTTTTTCTTAACTTCATTGCTAAAGAAGCCCTCATGATTTGGCAAAACGAAAATCTAAGAAATAAAGCTTTATCCAGATGTAAATATACGTATTAGCAGAGAAAAACAAGAGTTACCTTACTGACTCCAACTTCAGGAATTTGAAGTGTATGGCCAACATCTTTTTCTCTGAAAAATTAATACATAAATTGTGACAAGATAGAAATAGCTCAAATAATAGCTTACAAAAGGTGCATTTCAACTGAACCTTAATACCATGCTTTTCTTCTGCACTATCTGTAAGCTTTACAGATACAGAAGTACTATCTTACAATACACAAATGTACGGCCTTACTTCATTTGCTTTCAGCCTTTTGTGAACTACACACTAATATATGATAATGCTATACATTTTTTTTTTTTAATCTATGAACTTGACATTTCTATATGAACTTCTCATTTCATTCAAGACCTGTGGATACCAGTCTGAACACTGCATCCTCGAGTTCTTCATCAGTCTTCTAGACTGAAGCTGACTTCTTCATAGAATTAGACAAGTTATAAAAGCAATACATGTAAATTATTACAAAATACAAAGTTACAAAATACACAAATACAGATTTTTTGTTCAAAGATACTGGGAAGAAACATGAAAGGGTTTACATGTCAATTCTTAAATTAGAGGACAAAGAAACAATACAGCTACTAAAGGAACTATATGGAAACCAAAGCATTTTCAACGGTTGAATTTCACATAAATGTGCCTAGGAACTTCCAGATATAGGAGCAAATCAAAATACGAATCAGCATCAGATAAAAGCAGTTAAAAATGAGTGAAGATTTTAGTAGGCATGAAGAAAGCATTAACTCGTCATTAAATTCATCATTACTTTGATGAAACCTGATTTTGTATTAAATATCAGAACTTAAAGAATGCATGCAGGTTAGCAAACAATGCAGCATATTATTTCAAAATGGAGAATCAACCCTACTGGGATTCAAATGAGAAGCCCGAGTTGTGCTTCCTTATGACTCTGAATTATTGAAGGAGTTATCTTAGTGACACAGAAATAGAGTGTACTTTTTTTTCTTAACTTCTAGCTAAGTTCCTATTTGGACTTAGTCAAAATACCAAGTTACCATTACTTCTGAACTTCATAAAATACGTATGGTGTTATCATAGCAAATGCAACATTATGTGACACAGCTGAAGTTTCTTACTGCAGGCTAACCTTAAGAAAGTAAACCTCTAACTACTGAAGGCTAGCAGGACAAGCAGGAACTGTGGGGACAAACAATCCCCAGTGGCTTATGCTGTCCTGAAAGATAGTACAGGCTTCATATATAAGTAACAAATTTCACTCAGTTTTACCTTCCAATTGTAGCAGGTTTCACAGCTGTGATAATATAAAGTGACCCGGTCTGTAGAACTGGTGACCTTATTACAATGACTCTGATACAAGGAGGCCAAATCTTTTCTTCATCTACAATTAAGAAGAAAAAATAGTTACCAACAATTTTACTCCTGTAATCAACAGTTTTCTGACAGTAACCAATATACACTCTGCAATTTTATGGCACAACCCTATGAACTTTCAGAAAAAAAAAAGTATAAGTACATCTGAGAGAAAACTTTGATTAGAGTACTGTTTTAAACTTTTGTGCCTCCACATTAAATTTTCAATCCAAAAATAATTATCCTTTGCATGTCCATAATGTTTACGTACAGCCATAAGATATAAAGAAAAACAGAATTTACTAGCATCACCCATTTGTCAAAATTAGAGTGACTGACCAAATACTCTTCAGGCCACATCACAAATCTCATGGAAATAAAACTTTATATTAGATAATTTCTATCAAATTATTTATTTATTTTACTCTTAGTATCTTTAAGCATAAGTTCAGATAACATGAGCCCACACATGCACATTCTCTTTTCCTTACTGTCTGTTAATTAGTATTTCAAAAGTTGTGTGAATTCTGCTCTTGGACGTATACTTGCAGTGACAGTTTCCAATGGTCTCAGATAGGAACACATTGGCAAGAGGGGAAGACAGTAGATAAAAAGTTATGAGAAGAGATATCACCTTCATTTTTAAGTATTTTTGCACTCCAGTGGATTTTTAGAAAATCAGTAAGAGAAAGCAAGCTTCTTTTGCAGCATTCAGACATTCTGAATCGCACTAATCTATCAGAACTGGAGTACCAGAAGAAACAAACTTGACTGTTAGAACTCTGAGCAGGGCTCAGGTTGCAGTACAGACTTCTTATGACTTCCAGTATCATTTGCACGTTCCAGTTATTTGTATTAATCTTTCCATATTTTCCCTCACTCTCACCATCAGAAAACACCATTCAGTTCTTGAGGTCCCAAGACCCTAACATTATTTAATGCAAAAGAACATACATGTTTTTCTCTGTACACCTATTTCTTATATATTGCCAAAAGAATATACACAAAAGATTTCAAATACTACCAAGTACTCCTTTTCACCACAGCGGATGTCATCTCTCACTGAATTACATTTAATTGTTTGTGAACAGCATTAGGGATACATGATTTAGTGATGGGACTGGATAGGTCAAGCTGATGAACTTTTCTACCCTAGATGATTCTATAAAATACCGTACATTAATTGAAAAACTAGTGCAGAATTACTGCGAGGTCTGTGCTAGAATCTTTAATTTTAGCAACAGACTTCCTATTCTCATCACTACCCTAATGTAAACAAATTTATTCTACTGGTGAGGTTTTCACATATGCCCAGGAAGTTACAGCTCTAACAGCTTTTACAAAAACACCACTAATTGGTTCCACCTACACTGTAAATGAAAATAAAGAAACACTGGTAACATATAACACTTTTTACCCCAAAGTATCTCAAGTTAGATGCTTTTATCTATCTATTATTATCCAAACTGCTTCACTTTTTTTTTTTTTTTTCTTAATGGGAACTTGGAAAAATAGAGTAATATCATACAACAAAGGTATAATAATTCACCTTCATTTTCTGAATCTTCTGAATCATTGGTTTCTTCACTTGTTACTTCATCTGTACTGCTATAAGGTTCACGTTCAGAATCTGTAATTTCACCTTCTTCAGGCTCACTTTCTGTGTCTACTGTTCTACTGTCATCTGTATATGCTGCAGTATCTGGTGTACTTTTGTGTGAATGAGAATTCATACTGTCTGTAGAAATTGATTCTTTGGCTCTTAGACTGTTTCGTATTTTTGTGTCCATTTTTGTCTTCTTTCTTGCATTAGGAGACTCTTCTTCTTCAGTAGAACTAACTTGCTCAGTAGTGGAAAAGCAATTCAAATTGTTAGATGATTTCTGCTCTTCTGTGTCCATATCCTGGAGAAGAGTTACAGAAATCACACTTGAGGAAAGTTGTATTCTTTACAGATTGAGTCTAAGTCCACTACCAGTCCACTATCAGCCTGGAATCAAATTCTTCATTAGCAATTATTTTAAAACTATTAAAAAATGCTTACATTTCAAGAAAGTTCTGCACATTTCATGTCCTACTGGATATAACTAAGACCATCTTCTACTTGATTAGTGGGATTACACTCCTTTTCCAATCTCAACTTAACTCTTTTGGCTTTTCTTACAAAAAAAAAGTAACAATCCTTGCTCTTACTCTCAAACTTATAAACATCATTGACTAATTTCCATTTTTGTTTTTATGATTTTTCTGTCCCTCTCTAACACAATTCTTGCAACTTGTTTTAAGCTTCTTTAATCTTTAGTGTAATTTCCACCCATTTTTTCTCTTCTTGTTCCCCTCCTCCCCCAGAATGATTCCACAAATCAGAAATGCTCACTCTTCTTTGCCTAACGATCTGCCCTCTCTCCTTTCAAAACTTTAACTTAAACAAAAACCTGTGAAGAGCTGCTAAGTCTAATTTGTGCTATGTGGAACAGGTCCTACTGAGAATCTGTTTTTGACTGCAACAGATATCTCCACAGTATTGCAGACACATTATTACAGATTTTTCCATCACCACTTAATTTCATGAGCAGAAAAAAAGACCAACATTACTTAACTGAAAAATCTACATCAGTTTTACATCAGTTTTGTCAAAGTACCTTGAAAATGTAATTCTAAATTTGACAACCTGGATGATCATCTTAAAAAAAAAAAAAGAGGTGATTTCTTTCTTCAACAGAGAAAGACAGGGCAGAGAAATCGTATCAGATATTGTTGCATAAATATTTGCCTTTTTAGATTGGGAATTAAAGCATTCAGTTGCATTAAAGCATACAAAGACTTGCAACACAGGTAAAGTTAAAAAAAAAAAAGTTGACATTTTCAGGAAGTTTCTGCGTAGAGTATTTAATATTTCAAGATACGTGGAATGATGTGTATGTTAATACCATGGAAATTAAAGCACTTTACTGAGATAGAATATGAAATTGGCTATTATTACTATTATAAAAACTTATCAGTGATGCAGTTACAAGTCGAAACGATGAATTCCTCTCAGCCCAGTAGTCAAGCTATTGCTTAGGGCTTTTAACGTACACTTTTGAAACACATTCAGTAAGACAACAAATATTAAATGACCCCACATTTTACATTAAAGAATGCTAGTCTGCATTTGCCCTCCTCCATGAAACCCCTAAGAACTGTAACTAGGAAGCCACTGCCTGCGTTCTTGATTTTCAATGATACAGTAATCTGGCCAAAAATAAGCGTTGCACAGTTCATCCACATTGTGGGCTTTCACTGTCTGTAACATCCCCAAATCTGGTGAGACTGACCAGGAAGAACTGACCAGGAAGACTTTATACCAGCATTAGACAAGGGAGGGGAATACTATTAAGAGCACTGAGATTAAGCCCAGCAATGGTACAGCACCATCTGAAGGTGACAAGCCACCTACACTGCTCCAGGGAGTCTAGAAAGAAGCATCTGTAAAGCCTGTATCCCAATGCAAGCTGTACGAGGAACAAAATGGGATGAAATGGAAACTTTGGTCCTTTCCCAGACTAAAATGGGAATATTATACTGCCATAACAAGCATGTCTGAGAAATTCCTAGAGCATGCTGAAGATAACTTCCTGTTATGAGAATTAAGCCAACTAGGAAAGGCGCTCTCACAGACCTGTTGTTTGAGAATAGGGAATGCCTTGTGGGACAGGTGACAACAGGTGGCTGTCTTGGCCACAGCCAATAGTGAAATAGTTCAAAATCTTTTATTATCAGGAGAAAAAAGGTCAGAGTTGCCACCCTGGACTTTGAAAGAACAGACTAAATTTCTCAGAGAGTTAGTCAGCAGTGTCCTCCAGAGAATCCATTCTTGAGGGCTTAGGCAATCCACAAGAGCTGGTCACTTGTCAAGAACCACCTTTTAAAAGCCCAGGGGCAGGTTATCCCCCTGTGCCACAAGTCAAGCAAGCATGGCAGAAGACAGGCTGGATGAACAGTGAATTTCTCCTGGAATTAAGGCAAAAAAACCCTAAAGTGCACGACCTCTGGAAGCAAGATCTGACTTCACAGGAAGAATACAAAGCTGTAGTTCACACATGCAGGAAAAGACCACAACAAAAGCAAAAGCTCAACTTAACACTGGCCATTGTTGCATCAGACAGCACAAAAAAAGTTTTTTGTTTCTTTAAAGTATGTCAACAGCAAGAGGACAACAAAGAAAAACACTGAACTGACACCTGAAGTGAATGGTTACCTAACAAGTAACATCAAGCAAAAGGTGGAAGCATTTAATGCGGGATTTAATAGCAACTGACAGACCCTGGACTCTGAAAAATCAACAGACATTATTAGTCAAACCTTTTTCTCTGGAAAGTCTATAAGGAAGATTGTGCCAGGAGATAATAAAAGGCATTTAAAAAACAAAGCTATTATCATGCATAGTCAATGTATCTTAAGATTTGCCTTCAACATTCCTTTGAGACTCTGAAATATTTTAGCTATAAGAAAGTTTAGAAATTCTTGTACAAACTTCAAATTGCATTCCCAAAGACTGTGGATTTTTAACTCTTTAATTATTTCACATGTATGCATCAAAATTCACACTTTGATCATATCTAAACATTAAGCCTGGGACTGCTGAAAGTATTTGGTAGTGTCTCCTGAAGAAATTCTTTTGTGATATATGACCACTAGAAATAAAACAGAAAATACACAGCACATATGAATGTGCAACTCTGCAAATAGCTAATATAGTTTCCATACAGCCACTGCTTTTAAAAAAACAAGTAGAACCAACAGTAAAAAGAATATTCAGTAAGCTTCATCTTGAATGACTGAAATACCAGCAGTGCACTCCATTTCTCCATAACAAGATATTTAACTTATCTTGATAAATTTATGATACATAACAAGGATGAAAGTACATGCTTATTATTAATAGTAGTTACATCTTGAATCAAGGCATATTCTTTTTCAAAATTTTCACCTTGCCTAAACAGTCTTAGCCTTTTAGCCTTATCCAAACAGTCACTAAACTGATCACAAGTTGAACAGAGACTGCCTCTATACCATTCAGCTTTTAAAAGCAGTATCACTACATGGTGCCTAGCTTTTCCTCTGTCAGCCTAATAGTCAAGTTGAGACATGGGATGAAGCTAATGCATAATAAACTATTTCTTAACTACTGGGGTTACTTAATGTGGTTCTTACTTCTGTATTTCTGACAAAAAGATAGAGAAAAATACAAGTGAAGTAGTTCAGAATCAGCAAATCGTTTTCATGTATCCTATGAAAGGAACTGATGGTTTTGCTTTCTAAAGAACTGGTCACAAACTACACATACAAAGACCAAAGTATCGTCTTACATACATGAATAATAAGGTGTTTTCAATTGCATATTCAAAATATTTTAAACATTTAACTATAGTTTTTTTTTTGTGACAGAGGAAGACAATTTGCTCTTTCCAAGGAACTTCATGTTTTTCTATATTACACCTGAGGTACATATATGCTCACGCAACTCTTCAGTATACCTACAAATTAGAACTTAAATTATCTCGTGTATACATGGAATAATTCTAAGAATCATTTCCCAACAACAGCTTTCACTTGCTAATACACCATTTCACAAGCACTCCAATTACCGTCTTCTACTCTACACAATACGCAAAAGTTCCAGTACAAAAATCCAACTGAAAGCCATAAAGGGGTAAAGCTCTTCCTATGTTATGAAGTCATCTTGTACATTTGTGGGAAGCTATGAAACACTGAAAGCACACGCTTGCCTTACCTAAAGAATGTGTAGTGCAATTAGCCAGGACATCCCATGTAAAAATAGTGATACTAAACAGGTGTTTTCCCCAAATATTCATAGTACCATCAAAGTTTTCTTCAGATGTTTTACTTATACAGCGTTTCAATTTACTTTTTTTTGTTCACTTTTTAGATAAACTGATGTTGATCAAATAAATAATTAAAAAAAAAGTGATTTCTTTTGGGAAATAGGTATCTAAACATCAACTAGTAGATACTTTTTCCTCTTAATATATAAATCAAGGTTAAAGGTAAACATCCAGACTAACGTGTTTGGTGTCTCAACTCTACCTTTACCAGAAGCTGCCAATCCAAAAGAAGAAATCTTCAGACTAGCCATGGTTTCTGTCAACTGACGTACCTAAAGATGGGATGAATATCAGCAAAAAGTAAACTATATGTGATAAAAATAAAAACCACTGTTTCAAGAGTCATATGGGAAATAGTACTATGAAAACCTTGTCTCTTGCAGTAATTAGGACAGATCTTAGTAGTAAAGAATACAACGGAAGTTAATTTTGAGCACCATACTGAAATAAAATCCAGCAGACAGTAGTCAAGAATAAACTGTAAAAATTATTTATGGAAAAAAGTCATAGGTCAGAGTCTGTTGACAGCACCTAAGTTCTCCTATGCGTCACTCAAAACCCTAATCCAGCAAACAAAACTACATGATGACTGTAGCATAATTCCTATTCTCCAACTAGTATGAAAATGTGGATCTAGATAGTGAATCAGAGATTATATCATTCATACTACCCTGTGAGGATTTTTGCTGTTGATTTTTTTTTAGTGGTTTTTAAACTTATCAAATTTTGTTTAAAGACTTTTTTTGTGCAGAAAGCAGTTATGGTAATTCTTGATCAAGTTTCTTGGCCCATCAGAAAGAAAAAAAAACCTAAAGTCCTATAATTTCAAGAAGCAAGCTGTCTATATTAAGTTCTATGTCTTGTCAAACACAACACCCGATTGTCTATTAAAAGCAAGCATATGGGCAGCAAACTTGAAAGAAAACTATTCATAATAAAGAAGTTTGACCTAAAACAATCTCTGCAGAAAGCTCGTAATAAATTAAGAACACTTCTAAGAAAACGCTAATTTACACAAGTTCCCCCTCTCCTTATTTTTTTATTTTTTTATTTTTTGCTATTACAAGTACATTCATTTTTCACAGACTCATTAACATTTTCTTACGTGGTAATTTGGCTTCTTAAAAACACAAGATCATCTTCTTAACTGTCAGAGTAATTTTATTCTTTAGACTTATACTGCTTTTTCACAAACACCGCAATATTTGTGGAGAAAAATTTTTATTTATGTAGTGCTAATCATCCCAATGCATTATTTCTAAGTAAGCAGCATATGTAAGATAGTGAGCACACTAACTACCTCACAGTAGCCACAAACAAAATCGCACCTTAAAAAAACAATCAGGAAAGAAAAAAAACCACCAAAATAACAACACCAACAAAAAACCCTATTCCTTCCAGTTACCAGAAGCAGGGAATCATCTGCTTGATGTTTAGTCATTTTTTGATTAAAAGGAGATGAAATGGCTTGAATAATTTTTTGTAAAAACTGTATAGCTACCAATATTATGCATATACAAATATTTCTGGTGATTATATGTACAACTACAAAACATCCTTACTGCTTGTATATAAATTATGGTACTGAGTATCTATCAATATTTGTTTACTTTTACTCCCCTAACTGAAAAAGAAAGCAAGCAAGCTTAACAAGTAATTGTGTACTTCAAGCTATTTTTATCCACTGCTCACTGTCTTTTTCAGACCACATGCATTTTCTTGTAAGCATTCTAATCTTAGCTGGGGAATGATAATAACATCCAGGTGTATTCTGACACTCCCCAAATTAGACTCTGATATTGCTTTATCACTGATAGCCCTTCACAAATCAGGCAAAAAAAAAGAAAAATTATTCTCCTATTTGTAATGGTTGTGGGGTAAAAAAAAAAAAAAAAAGAAAAAAAGAAAAAAAAAAAAGAATAAGATGCCTGAGAAATCAGTTAATGTTCAGAGGCTTTAGATGTGACCATAAAGTGCTTTTTGCTTTGTAAATCTAATTGTGCATTTACACAAAAGTGGAACAATAGGAAAGCTTTTTTTTTTTTCCCCCAAAGTTAAAGCAGAGTAACTGTCAATTTGAATTCTTTCATAAAAAAATATAAATGAAATAGCAAGTGCCAGTTTCCATGACACAACCTTCAACTTCTTGTTCAGAGACGCACAAATCTGTGTGCAAAAGAACATATTTTAAACAATTTTCCTGCTAGCTTGTTGGTTAAACTGAATTATTCCACGAAGCTAAGTTCATTATCATTAAAACTCATCATCAAAAGTGGATGTTTACCTCCTACCTTGTGACTGTGCAAACTTCACAGAAAAGATATCTTAAACATTAAGTGAGCTAAAGACAAGTAGCTCTTTGCAATACAGCTGGATGACACAAGCAGATGGGGATGGGATCCCACAAAGTAGCCAATGTTATTTTCTACATTAGAGCTATGTATGTCACAAAACTTTGAATATATTTGTACATTCAGGTCATTTGGAAAATTTCACCACAAAACAAAATTTAAGGGATTTACTAATTGCACTATTTGATGGAGGCTAATTCCCACAATTTCTCCAACTTCTTTTCTGGATACATGGTGAAGTTCTGAATTAACAATGCCTCTTGAAAGTTTCAGAATGTTAACTCTGTATTTACTCACAGCATGTCCAGAACTTAGACATTGGTAAAACTGCTAACTAGCTTCAACTGCTTTATCTCCCTGTATCTAAACAAGCACTACACTCAGCATTGCTAAGCATCTACCCTAATCTTTTGTAAAGGTCTACATGAAGTTATCAACAGCCACAACATAAACACAAATTCTGTAATCGACCAACTACCATTATCCCTCTAACATACAATGTTAAGTTTCTATTTCCAATCTTTCAGACAACCTGAACTCTGAAAACACAATTTTAAGCTCTGTCCTGATGTTACATAATGGTTATGCTTGCATACTATGTGATTCTTTCAGATTTCAACTAATCAGCTGTGCTGGAATAACATGCAATTGTTACAATAATGGCTTTAAAAACCCAGCAAACCAAAGATAACACATTGAATTAAATCCTAACAAAACAAATCTGCAGAATAACAACATGTACATTTGATTCAACATCAGCAACAGTGCTCTTTAAGAGAAGGCTTCACGAGTTTTAATACGCATATGACAACAGACATTTTTCCAGGATACCTACTAACTGTACTATTTGGTAGATTTCCTTAGCAATCAGAAGAAGATAGAAATGAAGCTACAAAATGTAACTTAAAATAGATGTTAATTACAGTCAGCACTTACTAAGATTTCAGATTATTTATATGCCATGGACAACAAAAATGTATTGATCAAAAAATACCAATGAAAGAACACACAAAAGTAATCATAACTTCACAAACATTTCATCAGTTTCAAACGATGGCAGGGATATAGTGAAAACATCAATGCAATCAGCTGTGGAGTACAGCCACAGAGAAAAAGTGGTATGTCACTAAGTTCTCAAAACCTTCCTTGATTTTTGGATTCATCACATGAATATTAAAAAAGAGCAAAGACCAAAAATTACTAAGAGGGTACACTGTATTTGATGCAAAAACACTCCACACAGTAGCCTAACTTCAACTCAGAGCGTTTGCTAAAGAGCTTCACTGACATTAAACTGACATTTAAAGATCTACACTGCTGTATTTTAATGAAGTAACACTGAAAAGTGAGGGAAACCATGTTTAAAAGGTCTGTTTTTAACAGTTCAATAGGAAAATTTTAACACTAGCTACACCTCAGCAACTTGTCTTATATGGTTCAAGAAACATCTGACTCTTTCAGAAAACAAGCATACATCCTCTAAATACCAACTGCCAGGATCTCTAAGTCTCATAATGAAGAAACCAAAATAATACAGGTTTTCCTGTTTTTTTTTTTTCCCCCCCTAGAAGCTCTGAAGTTACCTTATACTCATTTGCAGTAGACCACTCTGGTTCTTTTCTCTTCTTTTTCCCTTTCTTGTCCTTGGCATGCTGAGAACCAGGAGTCTGATAAGACTGCAGATCCACTCGCGAATGAAACTGGTATCGCCCGCTTTCCACATCACAGTAGTAATAAATTCCAGTTGCTGGATCATAATACAGTTGATTTTCCTTTGTAAAAAAAATAAATAGCATTATCACTTCTTTGATGGCACTAAGAAAGTGCCACACACATCTTTTGTGTCATTTCCACCCCCCTCTCAAACCTACTGGAGAACTAAAGTGTTGATCTTTGCTGGTTATGTGATAACATGACCACATCCACACCTGGTAACAATGATACTGTTGCAGTTTGAGACTTTAAATAAAAAGTAACAAAGAGTAGAATAAAACTTAGAACAACTAGTTTTGTTTACTACGACATTTGTTATTTTTTTAAAATGAGTTGCACATAATGCTGCAAATAGAACTTTTTTTCAACAGAGTAGTCCCAGTATTTTGTTACTGTTTACACTTGCATCTACATATGCTTGTATATACACATATACCTCACAGGACAAAACGAGAACTCCAAACAATTCTCATATGAAAAACACGTTCAAGAACACAATCATCATGGAACTTAAAGCCAGCTTGGATCTTAGCTCTCTCTTTATGTCAACTGCTGCAAAAACATTAGCAGTTGAGAAAAAATGCCATGCATTCTGAAAACAATACTTACCGAATTATAGTAGAATCCAGTGCTGTGGTCATAATACAACCCCGTATTTTCATCATATATAAATCCAGTCTGTGAAACGGCAGCTTCTGCAGCAGCTCTCAAGCTCTCTGCCAAAGAACCCTCCGGTACGGATGTATCTTCTGCTTCCTAAAACCAGAAAGTAACAAACTGAATTTTCTTCTAAAAAAAAAAAACCAAAAAAAACCCCCCAAACCTCCTTGGCTCCTCAGCACTACACAGTGTGGTATTTTAAACAAAATATTAGCGCTCCATTGACTTCACTGCTTAAGGGACTATTAGACAAGAAGGTAAAAATCTGCAATTTACTGCCAAATTCCTCTTGATTATAATGGAACCAAATTTTCACCCCAGATCTTCTGTTTCCCCTGCAGAGGGGCAAGAAGAAAAATCTTAAAAAAGAGAAAAAAAAATATCCTACCAACTTTCTTCTCCCTGTATGTTGCCTACTTCCTCTTATGGAAGAAAAAAAATAATGGGACCCCAAGTGAAATTCACCATGGCTATATTAAATGCTTCCTGCTGTCAAAAAAAAGCCAGATTTAGTGTTTCCAACCCATACTGTACATCTGTTTTAGAACGTCAACACTTTTTCAAGCAAATCTAGGTCTACTATTACATTGAACACACAAAGAACTCAAAGCATAAGAAAGTCTGCTACCATTATTACATCATCACCACAGAAGAGATCATTCCACACACTGACATAAAGACTGAAAGAAGAACCTTTAAATGAATTTAAATATTAATAGATTTCTGGCTTCAAAATTTATCAAACCCCAAAGTTTTATAACCTGTGAATTTTGCATCAGATTTTCCTCTTCTCCACCTTCAGCTACTTCAGTGCTATTGACCGTTAAAGGAATATTAGTGTCCATCTGCAACTCCTCTGTGAAATCATGCTCAGTGCCTTCAGTCCCACGATTGTGCTGCACTGGTAGCTCAGATGCATAGTCCTGAGCATCAGTGTGATTGTAATAATTTTCATAGTAGTAATAATCTGCAGGCAAAAGAAGTTCAAGATATACAAATCAGCAAAGCAATACTTCACACAAAACAGTTCCAGACTGAAAATTTAAACACAGAAGTAGTCTAACAAAAATCCATTACTAAGTCCTGCCTGCATGTGTTATTCTACTTTTACTGAATGTGTCTTGTTTTTAACATACTTTAAGAACTGGTACAACAACAAACAGTAGTATAATGCTGGAGATTACTACATATCAGAGTAACATGGAACAAATTTACATACAGTGCATGCTACACTTTATCCTGTTCTTAAAGATACCATTTGAATAAACAGGAAACAATCTAAAAGCTGACGCTGGGTTACTAACTTTAATGCAGCTACTGATACGGACTTGAAATGTGTTTTATACAAAACAAAAAAAAGCAAAGCAAAAAAACCCAAGATGTCAGTTCACAACAGTGCTCTAGATTGACATCCAGTACCCCACCTACCTGTTTGTGACCACGCATAGTCCTCTGTTTGTACTTCTACGCTAGATGTGTCTTTCTCCTTCCTACTGTGGATTTCCTTAGTGAGCTCTTCAACCTGAAAGAAAAATGAGATGCTACAGAGCACAGAGATACATGCCAGGAAAAACCACTCATCCCATTTTATTGTCTATATCTCAGTCAAAACATAGTTGCCTTCCAGCCACTTCAGTCAGTCTTTGTTTAGCAGGAGGTAATTTTCTGCATGGATGGCTGCCAACATGAAAAACACTTCTGCTCAAGAAAGTGATGCTCCTAGAAGTAAACACTCAACTCGGCTTTTTTCTAAGGAACTGAACTGCAAGCTGAATTTCAAGCAAAGACCCCCGCACTGTGCTGAACGAGTGTGACTTCGATCAAACTTCCAGAAGCATCAGTGGGACCTTCGCTCTGCTCGTCCCTCATCACGGTCACGAAGCTCCTCTCTTCCCGCTAACGCCGCTTCCCCCCCAGACTACAGAACCACCTTTGTGTATCAGAGGCCTCTACCACCACCCCCCCCCCCCCCCCGCCCCCGTTTCAGAGGAGAGCACCGGGCCCTACCTGCCGCCGCAGCGCTTCGCTGCCGCCACGCGCCTCGCGGTAGAGGCGCTCGGTGCGCCGCAGCCGACGCTGCGCCCGCTCCAGCTGCCCGCGGCAGGCGACCAGGTCCGCCTCCAGGGCCGCCACCTGGTCCCGCAGAGCCCGCACCTCGCCGTGAGGCGGGGAGGCCATACCCGCCCGCTCCTCAGCGCCCCCCTGCCGGCCGCCGCCACCCGGCGCGCGACACGAAGCAGCGGCCGCGGTCCCGATCGCCGGCCCCGGCCCCGGCCATGGCGCCCGGCCGGGCGCGAGAGCACCAGCGGCGGGGTCGCGCGCAACTCAGGAACCTCGCCCGACAGCCGCGCCGCGGGAAAAGTTTCGCCGCGAAGCGCGAGAACCAGACCGCCGGGCGGGAACGCGGCACAACCCGGAAGTAAAGTGGGGAAGCAGGAAGTGACCTCACAGGCTCGTATCGGTGTGGGATGCGCATGCGCCCGGCGTGGCTTGCGGTTGCTAGGCGACGGGCTGAGGTCTGCGCTCCGTCAGAGGGGCGCTGAGCGGTCGGATTGCTCGCGACATCGGCTCCAAAAGGGGAAGCTGAGGCGTAGGGTTGCTGAGGGGCGTCCGGAGAGCGCCAGAGAGAGCCGGGATGACGGACTCCGAGACTGCGTGGGCAGTGTATGTGCTCAAAATCCATAAAAAGGCTTACACGGCTTCCCTGGGTCCAGAAGGCTGCTTTTCTGTCTTGTGTCAGTCCACTGTTGGGTTTGTTGGGCTTAAGGTACCCCAGGGTGTCATCTATAACATCTTATGGGGCAAAGGTCATTATAGCAACCTAGCACCTCTTTTTTTTTTTTTTTCTTTCTTTCTTCTGAGATTTCTCAAGTCTAAATGCAGAAAACTTCATATCTTTCCGAGAAAATGCTGTGGCTGAAAGCACTGCAACGATACCTACATGAATAGCATTCAAAGCTACTGCCTTAAATCTGCAAATTGCAGTTTATTTATAATATATAGTGTATATATATGTATGTACGTATAATGTTACATACTATTCTAATACGATAGTCAGATGTTGGTGGTATGACAGTATAGGCTGAACCTTCCCACCAATATTCTGCCACATTTGGTTGCTGTGTGACGGATGGCGGTTGTGGGACAATCTGACAAAATGGTGTCACACACGGAAATGTGCATGAAGCAAGGGTATTTAACTGAATTCCTGGACCCAAGGACAATCATTGGCATTTGCTGAACATCTATGGAGTCCAACCGTGGATGTCAGCCCAATGAGGCAGTTGGTGTAGTGTAGCAGCAGTGGCAGCAGCAACTTGATAGACAAGCCACATTTTGGATGGGCATACACAGATGTCACACCATGAAATGAAGAGCATCACAGTTAGCACGTCCACACAAATTGTTGTATTATCAACAGTGCATGGAGATGAATATTGGCTTCAATGTGTTGGAAATGATACTGGCAATGTTGGTGTATCACAGAGTTTGCAGCCCATGGATCCCATATATGCTCACACAGCAACAGAAAGAACACTGTACACAAGTTTGTTAGGACCTATTGAACCAGTATGAGATTGAAGGTAATTTCCTGGACCACATCATTACTGGTGATGAAGTGTGGTATCCTCACTATGAGCCAGTCAAAGCAGCAGCATGTATGAATTTCCCATTAACAAAAAAGTTCAAAATGCAGCCCTCAGCAGTTAAAATGATGTACATTATTTTCTGGGATAAAAAAGAAATGATCCTTCTGGATTTCCTGGAACCTAGACTAATCATCATCTGTGACCACAACATTACAAAGCTGACTAAGCTGAAGGTTCATACAGGCCAGAGAAGAAGACAACCTTTATCTTGCGGAACTTTGGATAAGGTCCAGGTTAGAGATGTTAAAGGCTTCAGTTTATGTGATTTTGACCCTTAGTACTGAGGCCTTATATATCACAGGAGACAATAAAGCATCTTCTATCAGCATAAGCAAGGTCAATAAAAGACAACAAGGATTCTTAGTTACAGCTACAGAGTAGTTTCTTACAAAAAAAAAAAAAGCTTTTTCTAGCTACATGCAGAAGCTAGTGAATTTAGGAAAGTAAATTAAGTTAAAAGTTATGTGCCTTCATGAGATGTTGAATCAGCAGCTGCAGATTTGACCTTGCTAAGCCATGTTCTTGCTGCTGATTACAGATGCTTTTCTGCAGATTTAGACAATTAGTACAGACAGTGGGTCTCCTGTTTTTTTTTTCAAATAACATTGTTAGCTATCCTATCTCTAGAATGCAAGGTAGCAGGCTTGGACAGTAAAACCACAAATTAATGAGAAGCAGTGGATTGGTGAATGCAGTTGTGGCTGATGAGACGACCAACCAGAGCCAGTCAAGTGTCTTCCATCCTAACTCAAGCTCAAGAAAATAACACAATGATCTTCACTGGAATGACCACCAAGAGATACGCATGTGTAAAAGAGCTCAGACATGGGGCAAAGGCAGGATGTCAATAATTTTGGGGACTCATTGTAATAACCCAGCCTTTTCTTGGACATCTAATGCATATGTAAGCAGCTTTCTCTGTAAATATGTGCCTTGATTGCCCTCCAGCATGCAGGCTAGGTGGGAATACTTGCCCTGCATCTGGCATGTGTGCCACGCTGATTAAACATACCTACTTTATAACAACTCTGTGGTTTTAGGGTTTGATTTCCGCATGTTACTAGAAGCAGCTTACTTGTGTTCCTAAGCTAACAGGAGTCCTTTGTCTCAGGCTAGTGTATGGGAACTGTTGAATCATGGCCTGAAGCTCTGATTGATCACCTGAAGCGAGCACTGAATCAGCCACAGGAGCACAGATGAAGGCAGTTCACCTGTGTGACTGGAAGGGCTGGAGCCAGGCTCCACCTCTCCTAGACCCATTTAAGGGCTGACTGCCACTGAGGAAGGATCTCTCTCTGGTGAATGCTTCTTGTGGAGTTTCTTGTGAGCCTACAACACCAGTGAGCACTTGCCATTTATCTCTGATTATCTTTTCCAACATGATAATCTTACCAGCTTAACTTCGCTGTATTCTATACAATGTCTGTATAGCTATTGATCATACAGGCTAGTCACCTGTTCATACTGTAATCTATATTTTTCCACAGAACATGACTACTGCTTTTTTCCTGCCTTGTAACAAGGTGAGTACACTGCAAAGAGATGTGTAAGTGGTGATGGTGTGCCTTGAACTGTGAATTTTCCTCAGAAGTCGCTTTGGAACTTACTGATCTTACCATCAGCACCCTGACAACCAATTCTAGTAACATCACAAGTATTTATGCACATGTCTTGAAGAGCTCAGCCACAGGGAAAATAAAGAGAAGACCAGTTGCAACTGGCTAAGTTGTAGTTCTTTTCAGCAATGAATTCAGACTGTCTTGTTTTTCCTTTCTACCACTCTCCTATTCCTGTGAGTATACATTGCACTGGATGTACATGCAGATAACACTGTCTCCCTTCCATGGCTCTGGTTTGGAGGAGAGAAATTGCCTGGAGGTGAAATAAAGGCTCCTCTACTGTGAGATGGAGTAGAAAATTCAGGGGAGCAGTATGCCTGCATCATACTAGAGGGGCAGGTCACTGAGCCAGCTTTGAACTAGTCTTGGTCTAACAAGGGGTCCCAATGGCATCTTCCTAGAGACACAAGAAGTATTTCTGCAGAAGTGTGATCTAAGAGCACCGTCTCTGAACAGGAGGCAGCTGGTCAGTGAGTCCGCTTCTGATGGACACTGAGAACATTTTGGCACAGGGCTTTTGAAAAGCAGGACCAGAAATTATGTGCAAAAGGCTGCAAGCTGCTATGCCCTGTAAGAGGCCTAACTGACTGAGAGGTCAGTAATTTTGTTTCTAATTTACAGTGTGTAGACTGAGTTTATGTTGACAGCTTGTTTTGAGCCAGTGCATAGATTTTAAATATAATCAGCAAACTGTATGTTTTGCTTGGTGCTGCTTACTATGGTCTTGTTGCATCACATTTGAATTAGTTTTGACACACTACGGTATATCTTGGCATTAAAGCTTCTGCATATTAGTTTTTTTTTTGTTTGTTTGTTTGTTTTTTTTTTTTATGCTTTTCTGCTCTGGGTGTAGTGCAGCTGGCTCTGTGTCTAGCATTCAGGGGCTTCGTAGTTGATACAGAGATCTATTGCATGTAGGAGGTTTAACTGTTGTCCTACTGCAAGGACAGGCTTCTCATTTGCAACTTGGTATCCTGGTCACTTGAAAGTGAGACACTGTAAGACTCATGTTTTCTTTATTCACAGTGCTTTGAAGTTTACTACGTTCAAGGTTAAGAATGTGATGGAAACTCAAAAAACCCAAATAGGTCTATCCATGCTTTGGCATAATTCTCCTTTTCTCCATAAAACATAAAAAAAAAAAAAAAAAAAAAGATATGTGAAAATGATTTTTTTCCACTAGATGGCAGTTAAGGATTCTTTTTCTTTTTTTTTTTCTTTCCTTTCTTTTGTGTTTTAAATGCTCATAAAAGCAGCCCTGAGAACTGCCTGTCTGTGCAGAACAATAGATTTCTAAACTAATTTTCTTCTTCATCTCCCACAACCTGTGCTTGGGCACACAAGCAAGTTAACAACACAGAGTCATAAAAGCAGGACAACAAAGCTGAGTTGAATGAGTTGTGGAGGCTGGTCTCATGCTCCTCATCCTTTGCAAGGTAATGAGTTGAGCAAAGTGGTTCATGTCAAAAATGGCAAATCTTAGCTTTGTTGAATCAACTAGTTTTGGAGATGGCCACCAAAATCAGTTGTTGCTGTGGCTTGGGATGATGTGATGTGCTAGCAGATTACAAAGTGACAGATCAAGGCTTGCCTGTTGGAACTGGGACCCTAGACAGAGTGAGCCACACAGACTGGATCATCTTAGAGTCTTTTCCAACTGGTGGTTCTATGATTACCTGTGCTGAGAGACAGCATCTTTGTACCCTTCTCTGTATGAATTGCTGCAAGATTGCAAGATTGCTTGAGTGTACATATTTGTTGCACTCCAAGGACATGGGCAGAAATTCCAAGAAACAATTAACACATTTGGTGGTCATGGGATGAAGGCTAATAGTCATTCTCACTGTAAATTTCCAACCTTTTAAGGGGGGTAGCCCATACCAGTTTTCACTCATATTACATTGAGCTGAGGCAACTCTTCTGC